TACATGTATATGAAACGGAACACGTTTGTGTGTGCATTGAAAAACACAAGTGTGGATCTGGAAATACAAGTGTGAATCCTTTTGCGGATCATGAAATACAAGTTTGAATCCTTCTGTGTGCATGTGTGTATTATGAGACTGTTCTGAGCCCATAGTAATGTCCTTAAACAGTAACTTCATAGTTGTGATTGTTGTCTGCTCTTGTGCGTAGTGTTAGTAGAATTATGTTGAGTATTAAACAATTGCGTGAGTGTGAGGGTATTAAAATAAATGTGTCAGTAAGTCTTTTACAAATTATTATGGGAAGTGCCTTTTTTCCTCACTTGAGCTCCTGCCCCCCAAAATGTCTGTGCACGTCCCTGCTCTGTTGAACATTCAAAAAATAGGAAATATTGTATCGACACTCATCTTTCCATGTAAAAGCAGAAGTCAGGAAACCAGCAGCGGTCACATGACGCATGCGTGGGCGGGGCTCTGCGTCTGCACCGACCAATAGGAACTCAGCTTTGCTCCAGATCCCAGCCAGCTCCATGGGGGGAAAAAACCCGAGAGAGGAGACCAATAACGGTACACACTCCAATATTTATGGAGCCGATGCCCGCATATAAGTGCACCGCATCCACTCTCCCGGTGCATGCGTGAATACATGCGTTTGGAGACGGAAGCGGGGAACGGCGTTTCGGGGAGGCGAAAACAAGCGGTCCACCATTGTCTGCGTAGAAATAAGAATGGCCTGGATGTGGAAGGTAAGAAGGGCTTTCTCTCATATTTACACCCCCCAAAAAATGGAAATTAAGGAAAAAAGCGTGAAACCAGCTTCTGACGTGGTGGTCGTTACGTTAGTGTGCGTTTCAGCAGATGTTGTGTTAAATATGAGCTCATGGTGGTGATGCTGCGAGGTAATTTAATCTCTTCTGCTTTCTTTTTTTTGGGGTGGGGGAGTCGGAATTTGTGATTTTCGCTCGTGCATATGAAGGATAGCCAGGCCATAGTATTTGTTTTTTTATCTTTTTATTGCGTTTAGTCCATGTCTGTGTGTCATTTCTGGTGATACAAAGCAGGCAGATGCAGGCCATGCAGCCAGCTGTGTTCACAACATGACACGTTCAGGTGTTCACATGATGAGTTAGGAGTTTACAACCTCCACTGTGGCCTTCACAGATGAGGAGAAAGTTGACAAAAAGTTCCTCAGTGACCCCCACTGTCCTCTTCTCTGTTTCACCCTTTACCTTTCATTTTCATTCAGGAAATGTCCCTAATTTACAGATGTTGATATGAACAACACTGTAAGAGCTGAAGATGTTGTTGATGATATGTGACGTATAAGCATTGTGCTTGTCAAGTATATATTGTTTTCTTTATCTTTAAAAGGCTGAAAACAATGAATGACACTTTCCCTTGCTAAGTGACTTAAAACATAAACAAGTTGGCAAGGCATTTTTTGTTTCTCGCCTCACTGTTTTGACCATAACATGTCAGATATAAATAGTACATAATGAAATAGTTTTTTGCTAATAATTCAGTTTTCTTTCACTCAAACTCTTGTTGTTTAAGTTATATCATATACCAAACATTTACAAAATCACATAAAACAAACTTTTCTAAGTGAGAGATTGTGTTCCAGTTGTTCATGAACAAACTTTTCATGTCTACAGAAGCACTTTATCTTGGTAAAAGCAAATATTTGGTCAAAAACATTGTAGAGTGCTATCTTAATAACATTGACTGTGTCACTGTTATTGATCCCTCTTTACTGTGGAGGTAATTAACACAGTGAAAGATGAATGAATGTGTTTATTTCTGTTAGACGTTGTGCCATAGTAAACACAGTCTTAGTTTGGTGTTGTCAGACTTCATGTTGTTTTCTTATTTGTATTTGGCCAAAGTTAGGAGTTTCTTATTCAGCTGATCCAATGGTCCCACACCCACTGGAAAAACATCTTAGTCAAAAGAAAGGCCTTTTACAAACTTCCTTACTCTGTTTTTGTTATCTGAGCCATGAGGTAATTTCACACTAGATTACACACTGTAATATTATATTATATTGCCAAACGTAGAACATGTAATTACGTGGTACAAATCACAGAGTGATTGAAAGAAGTGGGACACAAAGAAAATGAGCTGTAACTTTAAATGAAAGGACGCCAGTTTGCTTGTTATTCTCATGGCTATTAGGTACAAAAATAAGTAAAGATAGTCAGACTCAAAAGCCCATTTATGTCTTCATTAGGCTACTGGAAAGTGCTGCTGACATCACGGCGCCCTCGCAGTTATACACTTTACTCTTTCCTTGCTCTATAGTTAACATCTCAACTAGATCCAGCCAACTTGTTGCATGGAGTGAGACAGAGAAGACATACACTGGAACATCTGGCACGAGTAAAATGCCATCTTTCTGCTGTTAGATGCTTGTTTATGAAACAAACAGTTGACTTCTGTTTGATTGTTTTGCAAGTAACAACAACAACAACAACAACAACAACAACAGCAGCATTAGCTACACAAACAGTCCCACATCTAGTGTTCGAAAAGGAGTTAAAAGAAGTATAATTTATTTAACCTCCCCCTTGTCCCTAGATTATTTATTTATAATCTGTACATAATTATCATTACTATTATTATTAATTATTATTGTTACCATTATTATTAATCTGCTTTACTTGTTAATTGACATATGTACATATACACATGTGTATATATATATATATATGCACACACATACACATATACATATATAGTGTACATGTACAGTGGGGAAAAAAAGTATTTAGGCAGCCACCAATTGTGCAAGTTCTCAGACTTAAAAAGATGAGAGAGGCCTTTAATTTTGATCCTAAGTACACCTCAACTATGAGAGACAAAAGGAGAAAAAAAATCCAGAAAATCACACTGTCTGATTTTTAATGAATTAATTGGTAAATTCCTCGGTAAAATAAGTATTTGGTCACCTACAAACAAACAAGATTTCTGTCTCTCACAGACCTGTAACTTCTTCTTTAAGAGCCTCCTCTGTCCTCCACTTGTTAACTGTATTAATGGCACCTGTTTGAACTCGTTATCAGTATAAAAGACACCTGTCCACAACCTCAAACAGTCACACTCCAAACTCCACTATGGCCAAGACCAAAGAGCTTTCAAAGGACACCAGAAACTAAATTGTAGACCTGCACCAGGCTGGGAAGAGTGAATCTGTAATAGGTAAGCAGCTTGGTGTGAAGAAATCAACTGTGGGAGCAATTATTAGAAAATGAAAGACATACAAGACCACTGATAATCTCCCTCGATCTGGGGCTCCACGCAAGATCTCACCCCGTGGGGTCAAAATGATCACAAGAACGGTGAGCAAAAATCCCAGAACCACACGGGGGGACCTAGTCAATGACCTGCAGAGAGCTGGGACCAAAGTAACAAAGGCTACCATCAGTAACACACTACGCCGCCAGGGACTCAAATCCTGCAGTGCCAGACGTGTCCCCCTGCTCATGCTTGTAAGCAATNCACTGTACATAGATACATACAGTCAAACTCCCTCCACATCCCTGTACCTGGAGAAAATAATGTCTCTGTATTTCCTCTTGAACTGGTTAATGTCTGGACATCGCTTTAGCTCCACGTTCACACTGTTCCATAGTCTCACTCCAGAGGTTAGGGTTAATGTCTGGACATCGCTGAGATACAAAATGTTCTTCTGGTTGTACGGACCCTATGAATTTCGAAATGAAATGGTCTCCTTGAATTATATCCCCCTACTCGTTGAGTGAATACTTTTTGGATGTTTCCTGGTAAAACGTACTTTTGCCTTTTGCCTTGATTTGTGCCGTTTGAAATTCTACCAGGTCTGTACATTTTAACAATTTTGACTGCAGGAATAATGCGTTAGTGTGATGGCTGAATTGATAATCTTATGTATTTTACGATTCAAACAATTGAAGACGATGCAGGAAATGTGCTGAGTTATGGGATTTATGTTTGTTTTCTGGATTAGTTGAAGAATCTTTAGTCTTCTAATCGCTCAACACTAATCTGATGTTTTAATCTGAGGTTTATGTTTTTCGAGTGTTCAGTGGAGCAGAAGTATTAGTGATGTTTTAATCCCAAAGTCGTCCTGATTGTTTAGCAAAGTCGGTTTCCTTTGTGCTTTTGTCACATTTTCTTTCATATACGAACCACATTTTCCACCCCAGCAAAGCGTAGAAACGTTGTTTGCGATATTTTATCTTTCCATCCTTTTTTAAGCATTTAAGCAACAGGTGGGTGGTAATCCACTTATTGTTCAATTTAAAAACTCCTTAAAACTTTACTCGAAATGTGATGATTCCAGATTGTTCCATGTTGGAAAATTGCAGTACAAAAATCCCAACTACGCACTTGAGGTGCCCCTTTTAAGGGTCATGACATACATGTGGGGTCATGACAGAAATAATGTGGTAGAAAAGAAGAAGAATATAAATTCTGCTTCACACAAATATTATTTATGGTTTTGCACTTTTTCTAAATGTTTTTTTAAATAGAAGAATTTGATCTCTTTCTGAATATTTAAATGAAACAATATCTGAAATGTTTTTTCGGGGCAAACAAGCCTCTGGTTTTATCTTGAATAAATTCAATTTCATTCACTTGTATATTTTTGTGACGAGTGACTATATCTGTCAAACACATGTAGTGGACTCAGAGTCCTTCTGAAATGCACGTTCCTCAAAAGTGTATTTAAGTAGAGCACAAAGTACTCCACTACTTTTCCTCTCTGTGCATGATGCATTGCTTAAACCAGAGAGAGCTGTGTGACTATCGCTCTGAGACTTAGTTCATGTGTTGAGCGAGGCCTGCAGGAAAGCTCTCCCCTCTTTGTTAGCTGGTGTTTAATTGGAGTGAGTTCATCCGTGAAGAGCTGAGCTGGAGCTGGGAAAGGCTGCGGCTGTTGTCCTCCGTCATAAAAGTTCAGGGTGAGCTCTACATCACGTCTCAACTAAATTTGGCAGAACAAGGGCCAGAAAAGCATGTTTTTGTGACGGGTTCATGCGGGTACACGCAAGCAGAAGGCACACAAAGAAGACCTCAAATTAATTAATGCACACACACACACACAGAAACACACATTCGGCTGTGTGTGTCGAGGTGTTGTAACAGCTAGGGGAATGCACTGAGTGTCCCAGTTCTTCACAGTTTCGGGGATGAATGGCACTTCTCTGAGTCCCTCTTGTCCCGTGTGGGTTACAGCAGAAGGCAGACTGATAAAAAGCATGTTGAATGAGGCTCTGGGTTATATTGAAAGTGTTATCAAATCCGTGCTCAGATTTCCCTTTGTGCCATTCTCTCTTTTTATCTTGTGTGAAGTTTACATGAGATCTTCCGTTAGTATAAAAGTTCTGGCTGCATAGGGTCCACAAGGAAAACCTGGTTCCTTTTTAATGCTACAGTTCATACAGTTCCATTATTATAAGTTTAATAGATCCCTTCATACAATAATCATGAATGAATCAATGTAGAACAAAAACAGGAAACGGTCCCCCAAAATCATAACGGCAAGTGTTTTGTAAAAAGTTAACATTTAACTACAGAACTCCAGTTTGAACACTTACTGCCAATTGTCAATTAAGACCAATATTGGCTATTGGTCAACATTTCATTACCAATGATGATATGCACTCCTAAATGTTGACTATTGTAAAAGGAAGACTTAAATCACGGTACATAACGTCATTGGTTTGCATCAGGTTCCAAATGCAGTGCATAGGTAGCTAATTCA